TAACTGCAGCCATGAAATTAAAAGACACTTGCTCCTTGGAAGAAAAGTTTTGACCAACCCAGACAGCACATTAAAAAGCAGAGACATTACTTTGCCAACAAAGGTCTGTCTAGTCAAAGCTATGGTTTTCCAGTAGTCATGTATGGATGTGAGAGTTGGACTATAAAGAAAGCTGAGTGCAGAAGAATTGATGCTTTTGAACTGTGGTGTTGGAGAAGACTCTTGAGAGTCCCTTGGACTGCAAGGTGATCCAACCAGTCAATCCTAAAGGAAATCGGTCCTGAACATTCATTTTAAGGACTGATGCTAAAGCTGAAGCTGAAGCTCCAATACATTGGCCACCTGATGTGAAGAACTGACTCATTTGAAAAGACCCTGATGCTGGGAAAGATTGAAGGCAGGAGGAGAAGGGGACGACAGAGGATGAGATGGTTGGATGGCATCACTGACTCAATGGACATGAGTTTGAGTAAACTCCGGGAGTTGGTGATGGACAGGGAGGCCTGGCGTGCTGCCATTCATGGGGTCGCAAAGAGTTGGGCACAATTGAGCGACTGAACTGAACTAACAGCTGAGACTAATCTGGATGAAATGTAGAAAGTCTAGTCTTGTTGGACTTTTCCTATTAAATATCAATGTTTTTTTAAAGGGAAAAGAGCCACAAAAAAAGGTACTTTTAATTTCAAACCCTTTCCTAATTTTATTCCAGTTGACATAAACATCAAGAAATGAAAGACATCAGTCTGGACTGTTTCTATGCTGGGAAGTTTTAGAGCTTCTATAACTCACTGGTGAGAAAAAAGATTACTTACTTTTGATGAAGATATTTGTCTCTGATACCTGCGATACGTTATTAAAATAATAATCTTTGAAACATAAGACATATTCCAGGAAATAACTTTCTAGAAGAAGCAGGCATAAAGCGGAACAAAAAGCTAATAAACTTCTCCTTTCCCTTTCCTCTTACTCATTACACTGTTCCATTATCTCTCATCTTTTGTAAGTAGCTCTAATGAAACTATTTCTAGATTTTGCAACATTTTACAGACATAACTTTTAACTAACACCTTTCTAAACTATGAGACAACTCATTAACTGTAGTATGCAATCAACAACAGAAATTTTTATAGACCAATTTTATTTGGGCAAAGCACAGTATTTTCACTAAGACCTTTGTTCTCTGTGCCCTAATATCTAATTGTTCCTAAAGACAAAAATCACATCTATATAACTCAATTTTTACCCCATCCTACAACTTCGTGGTCATCAATGAATCTATAGTGTGACTACTAGTCAAAGTAAGTATTTGCAATGAACTTGTGCTGTACAGAAACTCAGACTACCCTGATAAACATCATTCTCTTCATGTAGCCAAAAAGTAACATAAATCAACTTTGAACTTTATAGCAATTATGCTTCTTAGTTACTCTAGATAGTCTATGCCCCATTTATTCATTTAAAAATATTAAAGCTATAACCCAAAATCTATTTAAGGGAAGGCAAATTATTTAAATTCAAATTACAATTATTCCCTACTGCATACTTTCTTCATGAAAAGATAATTAACTGCTTAAACATTTTACAGTTTAAGCAGTGTATGTAAGAACTATTAGTCCAGTTGGTGAATAGAAAATATTTGAACACATATGTTAGAGCATGCTATGCTACCTTTCAGCTACCAGACCAAGCATAGACTCAGCTTCCAAAATAACTAGAATTTCTAGCTATGTAAAACATTAAGTTGCTATATTATGACAAGGAAAAAAAATACTACGTCTACATGTAATTCCACTCTTAATCAGCAACCATCTCCCCTTAAGTTTTTTGATATCTTGAAGTAACCAGCTCCTTCCGTGGTCACGATTATACACTGACCATTAAAGTGAATAATGGACTACCTGGCAAGCCAGAAACTGGCTCAATTACCACAACATAGCAAAGAAAAGAGAAAGTAAACTGGAACAGATTTCTACAATGCCCTGACTCCCTAAATCATTCAGTGGAAGAGAAAGCCACAGGGCAGGGAAAGGCAAAATATATGGGAAGTCAGCATTATGTATGTGTGAGGTAGGTGCCAAGGGGAAACAAGATTGCTCTTAAGAACAAAATATCTAATAATTCAACCTCAACTATTTTTCTTACTCACTGATGGTAAATCGCTAATTTCAGAGAAGGAAATTAAGAATTCAGGTTCTCTACACGGTTTCTCTTTCACTTTGTATTTGTTTATGAAGGGGTGCTTCTGTGCTTAGTCACTCAGTCTCGTCGGACTCTGTGCGACCCCATGGCCTGTAGCCCACCAGGCTCCTCTGTCCGTGGGATTTTCCAGGCAAGAATACTGTAGTGTGTGGCCATTTCCTTCTCCAGGGGATCTTACCAACCCAGGATTGAACCTGGGTCTCCTGCAATTATTATCTTAGCTCTCTCAAGCCTTTTTTTCTGTTTTCTTCTATCTCAGATGGTATGAAAGTGAAAGTGAAGTCGCTCAGTTGTGTCCATCTCTTTGCGACCCCGTGGATTGTAGCCCACCAGACTCCTTCATCCATGGGATTCTCCAGGCAAGAATACTGGAGTGGGTTGCCATTTCCTTCTTCAGGGGATCTTCCCGACCCAGGGGTCGAACCCAGGTCTCCCGCATTGCAGGCAGACGCTTTAACCTCTGAGCCACCAGGGAAGCCCAGATGGTATGACTCAGTCATATAAGCCAAAAACTTAACTGAACTATATATGAAGATACCTGAACAAAAGTAACAGCCTTTTCACTGTCTCTTTACCTGCAGTCTTATTCTCTTTGAAGACAGCTGAGAATGATCCATCTAAAGTTTAAATCTGGGTCATGTCACCCCCCAGTTTCAAATTCTTCAATGTCATGCTACTGCTTATAAAATAAACCTAAGCTCTGAAGCATAATATGCAAAGTCCCACTGTAATCAAATCTCTCTCCCCATTCCACCATCACATACAACATCTTGAATGTGTGATTCCTTGAAAACAAATATATAGGGCATGATCTTTCACATTTCCACATACAGTACAGTCATATTTGCCTCTCCACCGTTGAGACTGACCAGGCAGCTACCTCTCAATATGCCTCCTTTGTTTCTTCATTCAAGACTCAGCTGATCTGTCCTGAAAGGTTTTCCTGGACCCCTAAAATCGGTGAGGTACCCAACTTTTATTCCTCCATACACAGTTCCTTGGTGTGGCAGGCAAAATAATGCTCCTAAAATATGTCTACATTTTAATCCTGAAAAATCCATGAATATGTTACTTTACATGGTAAAAGGGACTATATAGATGTGGCTAAGGACTTCTTAGATAAGGATTTAAAATAACCATCCAGGATTATTCAGGTGGGCCCAATCCAAACACATGAGTCCTTAAAATCAGAAAACTGTTGCCAGCTATGGAGCCCCAGAGACGACGGTGTGAAAAGAACTGGGCCCCCATTACTGCTGGCTTTGAAGACGGAGGAAAAGGATTATGAGCCAAGAACTGTGGATGGCTTGAAAGGAACACAGCATTATTGACACCTTGACTTTAACCCAGTGAGATCCATCAGATTTCTGACCTATAGAACGGAAGCTAATAAATTTATGCTCTTTTAAGCCACTAAGTTTATGGAAATGTGTTACTGCAGCAATAAAAAAAAAATAACATACTTAGAGATTTTTTTTTTCTATTATTGTCTGTGTCTGGTTGAGGGTAGGAACTCTATCTTACTTAAAATTGCATTCACAGTAACCTAGCACAATTCATGTCTATAGAGATGCTCAATAGTATTTTAGAACTGCACACGTTATTTAATTCCAAAAATCCTACTACTATAATTAAAACATTTTTTTTTTCAATTCAGAATCTTCATTGGCAACATGAACTGCTTTCATTCCTCATTAGTCACTTCAGGCACAGAGATCTATTAATACTTGTTTATTTCTTCTGACTAGTCTCCTTTTATTAATAGGATAAGTACTCACTATGACACAGTCTTCTCATGGAACTTCGTGCATGCAACTTTTTAATCCATATTACTGTATCATGTCAGATACATCAATATTTTTAAAATCACATATATTGTCATTAGAAACATATTTTTAGTTCTATCAATCCCAATAACCATTAAGAACTACAACTGATGCTTAGTTTGAACAACATTGAGTTTGAACTGCACTTACACATGGTTTTTTTAATAGTAAATACTACAGTACAATACTATCCAAGGTTAGTTGAATCCAAGGATTCCGAACTACAGATACAGAGGAACTACACACATGGAGGGCTGACTACTAGATTATAAGAGGATTTTTCACTGCATAGAGGATCAGTACCCCCAAGCCCTGCATATTCAAGGGTCAACTGTATTTTATTTATCCACAGGGTTTTAAATTTAGGTCTCCTGAGTATATGAAAAAATAAATTAGTACTAGAAGCTCATTTCTTGAATCAAGGTTTTAGAAACATTCAGAAGGTAAAAGTATCATTTTATAATCCTCTAAAATTGATGTTATTTTCCCCATATCAGAGGCATGGTCAATATCATAGTTCTCAACAATATCAGCTAACATTTTTTAGGCCATTATATGTGCCTGTCTTTGTGATAATTAAGTGTTTCACAAGCATTCTTAATCTTTACAATGACCTTTGAAGGTAATTCTATTACTCCCAATGGGATGGAGTCGGAGCTCAGAAGGATTAAGTACCTTGCCCAAGATTAGCTATACAGCTCAAAGGTAGAGGAGCTGGGAATTCAAATCCAAAGTCAATTAAAGAGAGAGAAAAAAAAAAAGCAAACTTTTTAGATTAACATCTATACATATAAGCTTATTCTACTAATCAAAAATGGAATTTGGAAAAGTCAACCTTCACAACTGACAAAGAGTTTTCCAAGTGACAGGTACCCACGAAGGTATGGCAGTGGCTATCATAAAATACCAAAAAGTACCAACATTTGACAGTGAGAAAAAGTATCTGGCCATAAGATAACTTCATTTTCTTTGTACCTTAGAATTTGTTTTCTGGAATGGATAGGTCAGTAAATCATATGTCAGTACTGTTCATCTTTCTTATCAGCTGTTACTTCCATTCTGTGAGAGACAAAAAGAGAGATTCTAAATATCAGGCTCATTGTGTGGCTTAAGATTGGTTCCATATGAAACTCATTTCGTTCAACATCTGATGTTTCTCATTACTAATGGTTAGCCTTTGAAAAGTGAAAGTCACTCAGTCATGTCAGATTCTTTGTGACCCCATGGACTGTAGCCTGCTAGGCTCCTCTGTTCATGGAATTCTCCTGGCAAGAATACTGGAGTGGATTGCCATGCCCTTCTCCAGCGTATTTTCCCAACCCAGGGATCAACCCAAGTCTCCTGCATTGCAGGTGGATTCTTTCCTGTCTGAGCTACCAGGGAAGCCAGTGGTTAGCATTTACGCAGGATTAAAAATGGACTGCAAAATGTTAGCAATATTGATCTTCACTTCTCTAATTATTCAATAGCTCTACAATCTTAAGTTACTTCACTAACTTTCTGGTCTTTGTACTCTGCCTGGCATTCTACTGAGCTCAGTACAGTAGTAGAAACAAAGAAGGAATTAGAGCATGATTTAAAAGCTTTAGAAGGACTATGTTTGATTCTCATTCCCATCACTTAACTAATTATACAACCTTCGGTAAGTCTTAGTTGCCTTATTTGTAAACTAAGGGCAAAAATAACGACCACCTACAGTTCTTGGGAGGATAAGATTATTAAATACAGTTTTCAAATTCACCCAAAACAATGCCTGGTGCTAAGTAAGTACTCCTTTCTCTTTTTTTAAATATATTTTATTGAACTATAGTTGATTTACAATGATGCATTAATATCCTTTAAGTGTGACTCTTAAGTATTAAAACCAGGTTTTTTAGGGAATCATTTCTTCAATTAAGATTTAAAAGTTTTGTAGGATAAGGAAATGGCAACCCACTCCAGTATTCTTGCCTGGAGAATCCCATGGACGGAGGAGCCTGGTAGGCTACAGTCCATCGAGTTGCAAAGAGTCAGACACGACTGAGCGACTTCACTCACTCACTCAAAGATATCACAGTGTTAGGGGTATCTTAATCTATGTGGGCTGCCATAACAAAATACCACAGACGGAGTAACTTAAACAAAAGACTTACTTTTCAACAGTTCCAGAGGCTAAACGTCCCAGATAAAGGTCTGATGGGGTTGGTTTCGGGTGGGAATATTCTTCCTGTAGACGGCCATCCTCGTGCTGTGCAGTGCCCTTCCCACTGCTTATAAGGGCGCCAACTCTGTTGGATTGAGGCCTGACTCTTATGACTCATCTTAATCGCCTCCCCACAGACCCTGACTCCAAACACAGCCACACTGAAGATTAGAGCTCAAACACACGGATTTTTGGAGGACACGAACATTTAGGCCATAACAAAGAGTATTACTGTATTTTGGGGCTGAGAGGCTTTTATGTTAAAGTAAATTTTACAGAACTCATTCAAACCTCATGCCAAGTTTCTTCAACAAATAGAAATACTACAATCCTACATGGAGACTGGAGGAACAACATGGAAAGGTTAAGGAATATAACCTTAATATACAAATGAATAGAGGCAGAATTACAAATAGAATTTTAGCCTTTTAAGTTTGAAGCTCATCCTATTAAATAATATTGCATTTTTCAAATTTCTATTTCTAAATGTTTTATCACTGTCCTCTTTGACATTACTTCTTAAATCTGCCTTTAAATTCTTTCAACTGAAATTTTAAGTGATATTAAAGAAAGGGAAGAGTTTTTTTAAAATGACTGAAGTTCTCAAAGTCAAGGAAATAAACAGAGCCTTGAAAATCAGTTTAACTCTATGGTTTTGTGATTTCTTCTTTTAGAAAAAGCCAAACACTGGTAAATTCAGCAGAGTCATTAGCTTGTTTCTTGACCAACACTCATCAATGAGGCTAATCCACCCACGGGCAAGTTGGAGTTAGATATCATTTCCAGAAGCTGAAAGCTGCCTATTCATGCTTGCAGAAGACAGGACTATTGCTTTAATAACTATATTTCATTTTCTCTGAGTGGCAGAGATTTTATACACCATCTCTTTGAGAATCAAATACTAGCCAATATCTTTGGGCATAATATAGCATTTAAAAAAAGTGAAAATTGCTCAGTCGTGTCCGACTCTTGAAATCCCAGGACTGTAGACTGCCAGGCTCCTCTTTGGGCATGATATAGCACAAAGGTTCCTTCAAAGAACATTCTCGTAGAGTGGGAGGTCAGAATTCTTCAGTAGGGAAAAACACTAGCTTATATTTGATCGGTATTACTCCTTAGACCACTTTGGCTACACCTTAAGTTCTTCTTCTCTTTTTAGAGACTAAGAAAAATGTAAAACTAGGTGATGTTATTCCAATTTTTATGGCTTTTTAAAAATACTTTCATCCTTTAGCATTGACAAGCAGGCTGGCACCTCCGAGAAACGTGAGAAGCTTCCTTTCAAAAATAGCAATTTTTACGGGGCTTTCTGTGCTTTTAAGAGGCGGGGGAAGAAGAAAGAAGAAACAGAACTGAATCACATTGTAATTGCTTTTAACTAACCAAATGAAACACTTTCCCTACCCCAAAATAGTGTTTGTAACTCTGTGCAATAATGTTGCACCTCACTGTGTTTCTTCAGCTGCAAGGGGTGGTAGTAGTGACTTCCTATTGCTAATTTATATTATTTCACCATCTCTTATTTGGTTCTCTGCTCCTCCATTACCTGTGTTACAATTTTCCTGTATAAAATTCCTTCTGTTGTAAACACCTGAGAATATGTGAGACGGTTTCTGTCTTCCTTGGGAGATTTTGACTGATAAAACTGCTTATTGCCAATTTTTATCATTTATTGCTTTTGAAATGCTCATTAGCTTTTTCATATACTTTGTGCTTTAATATAGCCCAAATACAAATCTTAAGCTTAAATTTACAGATTCTGAGATTAAAACTCTGATCAAAACTCCTCAGGACACATGCTGAAATAAGGAAGGAGAGTAGAGAGAGGAGAAAAGGCAGACGGGGAAGGTCAGTGAACAAGATACACGGCAAAAGCCATGCAGGTAACACGCTAGATATGCCAGGTAATGTCAACAAGGGAGTCTCCATGATTGAGCTATTCTCTGAATACAGAAAAGGTCTGATTAAAAACAAGTATGCTGACAATGAATATAACAGGCAATGATAATGGTATCATAATCTCTAAGAACTTCCACTGAATTACAAAGCTTCTTCAGAGAGGCTCCTAAATTGTCTAATGATCCAAAAGAAATGTTTTATATATAACTAATTGTTGATGGCTATAACCTAGAGCAATCTACTTAAAATGCAATTCTTAAACGGTAACAGTCCAAACAGATTCCTACGACAGCAGTACAGGCATCATTTTTTCAGGAAAAAAAAAAATGGAGCATGCTGTATGACTGTGTAAGCTTCTTTTAGCACCTGGGGTAGTAACCCTAAAGCAAGTACTTTGACACAATCTTTGAAAACTCCTGTCTGGCAAGAAAAAGCCCCAAGAGACCATATTTATTTGAGGATATTTTTCTTTTTTTTTTTTTTTTTTTTTTTTTTTGGCTTCAATGAACAGCATGTGGGATCTTAGTTCCCTGACCAGAGATTGAACCTGGGATCGACTCAGTGGAAGCACACAGACCTAAACACTGGACTGCCATGGAATTTTCCCAAGAGACCATATTTAGATGATAACTGATGTTTCAGCAAATCAAACTGCTTTGACTTATAGGCACAAACTCATAATGATGTAATACTAATAACAACAACAAAATATAAGCTAGCACTTAAACAGTACTTTTATTTATGTGCCAGACACTGTTCTAAGTACAGTTCAGCTCAGTTCAGTCGCTCAGTCACGTCCAACTCTTTGCAACCCCATGGACTGCAGCACACAAGGCCTCCCTGTCCATCACCAACTCCTGGAGTTTACTCAAATTCATGTCCATTGAGTTGGTGATGCCATCCAACCATCTCATTCTCTGTCATCCTCTTCTCCTCCCACCTTCAATCTTTCCCAGCATCGGGGTCTTTTCAAATAGGTCAGTTCTTCACATCAGGTGATCAAACTATGGGAGCTTCAGCTTCAGCATCAGTCCTTAAAATGAACATTCAGGACTGATTTCTTTTAGGATTGACTGGTTGGATCTCCTTGCAGTCCAGGGGACTCTCACAAGTCTTCAATACCACACAGTTCAAAAGCATCAATTCTTCGGCGCTCACCTTTCTTTATAGTCCAACTCTCACATCCATACATGACTACTGGAAAAACCACAGCTTTAACTAGACGGACCTTTGTTGGCAAAGTAATGTCTCTGCTTTTTAATATGCTGTCACGGTTGCTAAGTACTTTATATATTTAACTCATATAGTAATTCTCACAACTCAATGGGATAGGAATTATTGTTTCTCACTCTGCCTCTAAAATTACAGGCATGGCCTAAAACGAAATTTCCCAAGTTCACACAGTAAGTAACATCTAGAATCTGATCCCAGGGAGTCAGCCCAAAGTCTATGCTCTTAAACATTATACTAAATTCTTTCCCTAACAAGATCAAAATCATACAGCTAATAGGTGATGAAGTCAGGAATTTAACACAAGTCTTGAGCTACATTTAATCAAATACATTTATGAGACATTTCAGTTATAACTCCTTAGCTCTTCCCCGCTAAACCCTCCCAAGTCTTTCCCATCACCAACAAACAATGCCAGTGAAACTGGGCAAGGGGCATAGCATAGTATGGAAACACCAGTAGTCAGCCAACCTGCATGGTACACAACAGAGAGTGTAGTGTTTGTGGTCAGAAAAAAAAATGGGTTGAAGGTAACTGCAATTAATTGGCAGTGGGCTTCCCTGGGGGCTCCACCTGTGAGGCAGGAGACACCAAGTTTGATCCCTGAGTGGGGAAGATTCCCTTGGAGCAGGAAATGGCAACCCACTCCAGTATTCTTGCCCGGGGAATCCAATGGACAGAGAAGCCTGGTGGGCTACACTCCAGGGGATTACAGAGTCAGACATGAATTAGCAACTAAAACAACAAAAAATGCTACTAAGTAGACTACAGGCTCTGAAGTCAGACAGACATACACTGAAATCCTGGCTTAGAGACCATTGTGTAGGGTGATAAAGCTTAGGCATAGAATAAAGGTACCTTTTTCTCTTTGTCAAAAAAGCAAAATGGGAATGAACTT